TCCCTCAGCCTCTCCTCATAAGACTTATTCTCCAGACCCCTCACCAGCTTTGTCGCCCTTCTCTGGACCCGCTCCAGCCCCTCAATGTCTTTTTTATGGTAGGGGGCCCAAAACTGGACACAGTACTCGAGGTGAGGCCTCACCAGTGCCCAGTACAGGGGGACAATCACCTCTCGGGCTCTACTCCCCACGCTGTTCCTGACACAGGCCAGGATGCTGGTGGCCTTTTTGGCCACCTGGGCACACTGCTGCCTCATGTTCAGCCCACAGTCCACCAACCCCCCCAGGTCCTTTTCTGCTCCAGCCACTCTGCCCCCAGCCTGGAGCATCCATGAGGTTGGTGGGACCCAAGGGCAGGACCTGGCACTTGGCCTTGTTGAACCTCACCCCGTTGGTCTCGGCCCATCCATCCAGCCTGTCGAGATCTCTCTGCAGAGCCTCTCTACCCTCCAGCAGGTCAACACTGCCACCCAGCTTGGTGTCCTCTGCGAACTTACTTACCAGCTGCTGCAGCCTCTCCACGTTGGAATAATGGTGCTTGGGGGCTTCGGATGGTGGGAGCTGCCCAAAAGGGTCATCCATGTAGGCGTTGGGGGTCGGGACACGGCGAAGCAGCAGCCCACTGCAAGCAGGAGATGGGGGTCCCATTGCTGCCCACTGCCCCACAGCAAAGGGGAGGGCTGGGGATGGCTGTACCCCCACCAGCATCTCCTTACCCCGCAGTGGGGCAGCCGCCGGCATCGCCCAACCTGGGGGTCTGGGTGTGGGGGGGGTCACCGGATGGCTCTTCTCCTCCCCTGGCCTGCAGGGTCTTCAACCAGGCTTCTCTCTCCTCATCTGAACGCGTCTGGTGTGGGGCAGAGGGGCTGTGCTCAGTGGGGGTCCCCCCCCAAAAAAAATAGAGAGGGATGGGGAGGGGGGATGCCAAGGTGGTCGCTCACCTGGAGCAGGGCGAGCTCCCGGCCCCGCTGGGCGATGCGGATGCGGAGGTGTTGGGGGGAGCCAGCCCCCCCAGAGACCTCGCAGCCCTCCAACCTCAGGGCGCAGAGGGGGGGCCGGGTGCCCCCCGGCTCGGGGAACATGCGGAGGGCTCCTTGTCGCACTGCGCACCACAGCCGCTGCCACCGCCCCCGCAGCCGCACCGCCAGGAAACCTACGGGGGTCCAACCAACCCCCCCCCACACACACACCATCAGCAGGGCCAAGGGGGGGTGGGGGGACACCCCCTCGCCCCGTCCCCACGCACCCCCACCTCCTTTAGCATCCTCTCCGGGCCGGGGGCTGCGGGAAGGGCGCTGCGGGGAGCCATCCTCCTCCTCATCCTCCTCCTCGCCAAGGTGGGCAGCCTGAGAGTGGAGATACAGAGAGCCCCGTCCCCAGCAGGTTTTAAGCCCCCCCCCTGCATCCTGACCCCCCCACCCCATGGCAATGACACCCTCCCCTCGGGGACAGGGGGATGGGGAATTGGGCTGTAATCTCAGAAGGATGGGGAATTAGGGTATAATCTCAGAAGGATGGGGAATTGGGGTGCACTCTCAGAAGGATGAGGAATTAGGGTATAATCTCAGAAGGATGGGGAATTGGGGTGTAATCTCAGAAGGATGCAGAATTGGGGTGTAATCTCAGGATGGGGAAGTGGGGTGTAACCTCAGAAGGATGGGGAATTAGGGTATAATCTCAGAAGGATGGGGAATTGGGGTGTAATCTCAGAATGGGGAATTAGGGTATAATCTCAGAAGGATGGGGAATTGGGGTGTAATCTCAGGATGGGGAATTGGGGTGAAATCTCAGAAGGACGGGGAATTGGGCTGTAATCTCAGCAGCCCCTTTCCCATCCCTGGGGTTTTTTTTTGGGGGGGGAGGATGACGAGGATCTCACCCTGCTGAGCCTGGAGGAGGGTGATGATGGGACTCTGCCGGCTGCCAGCCCGCTCGGGGCATCGCTGCTGACCTCCTCGATCACCTGCCAAGGGAGAGGGGGAAGACTGCAGCCCCCAGACCCCTGCTCCCCCATCTCACGGGGCTCCATACCCCCCTGGGGATGGGAGAAAAAATCCGGGGCCACCTGGGGAGCACCCCGTTTCTCCCCACCCCCCCCCTCTTCCCCTCCTGCCCACGCAGAGCTCTGCCAGGCTGCAACACCTCCAAACCTTCCTCCAGTCCTCAGCCTGCTGCCGGCTCTGGAAACCGATGACCAGCCCCTCTCCCGTCCTCCCCGTCACCTTCAGGGTGTGGGGCATCTTCTTGCCACGTTTGGCTTTGGTAGCCACGTGGCAACCCCGCAGGTCCAGCTCCAGCACGGGCTGGGGGTCGGCAGCACACCTGAAACACTGCGGAGGAGCAAAATGGGGGGGGTCTGCAAAGCTCAAGGACCCCCCATCCCAACCCTTCCTCCCTCCATCCATAGAATCACAGAATGGTTTGGGTTGGAAGGGACCTCAAAGATCATCCAGTTCCAACCCCCCTGCCCTGGGCAGGGACACCTCCCACCAGACCAGGTTGCTCAAGGCCCCATCCAGCCTGGCCTTGAACCCCTCCAGGAATGGGGCAGCCACAGCTTCTCTGGGCAACCTGGGCCAGGCTCTCACCACCCTCACAGCAAAAAATTTCTTCCTGAGATCTAATCTGAATCTTTTTTCTTCCAATTCTTCCAATTTCTTCCAATTTAAAACCCCTTGTCCTATCATTACCCTTCCTGGCAAAGAGTCCCTCCCCAGTTCTTCTGTAGGCACCCTTCAGATCCTCCTCCTCCTCCTCCTCCTCCTCACCAGCAGCCTGTGCTCCCGGACGATGAAGAGCTGCTTCGCCCATTGCCCCAACCAGCGTTTCCTCCAGAGGAAGCCACAGAGTTGGGCTTGGGGGCGACCGGGGGGGTCGGCGTCGGGGCTGGGGGCTGGGGGTCGCCGCAGGTAGTGGGCACGGTCCGTCACGCCATCCTCCTCCTCCTCCTCCTCCTCCTCGTAGGACTCGTAGTGGCTGCTGTCGGTGTCGGCATCGCCTGAGAGCCGGGACGGCGTCAGGGTGGGGGGTGATGGTGGGTGCTGGAAAAGGGGG